TTTTGGACAGTAAGCTTGAATGAGCGATGCCAAAAGCAACTTTTACACAAAGCGTGCATGAGGAGAAATGGGCTTGTGCATGCTCTCACAGGTGTTTAATAGGCGTATCCTCTTGGGAGCTCGTATAGGGTTGTGCATGTGCATTCGAAGTAGAGGGAGCGGGTCTTTTCAAATATTGGGAAGAAGTCTAAACTGACACCTTATTATCTATGTGTTAACTCATTTTTAGAAACTCACAACAGCGTCCTACCAGAGGTAAATCCTTTAATTACATGGAATATATCTTGCAAGGTTGTAGAGTTTATTCAAATTCTGTTTTGAGGAAGCTGGAATTGGCAACATAATTTAGCTGAAATATGGCTTATTACAAGAAACAAGCTTTCCTAAATAATAACCTTAGTATTGCATATAAATGTAATGGAACTGAGTGACTCTTGACACCAGCGAGAGGAATCTCACCAGGGAGGACTGCGTTGCATCCCAATTAAAGCCACTATCTCAAGTGGCGAGAGTCTCCAGACAAGCTCTCTTCTGTGCTGCATGAAAACAAAGCACATCATTTCACCAGACAGGTCGCAGAGTGATAAAAAGGAAATTTCATCACTGATGTCAGTGACTTGAATAAGTTCATACTTACATTAATTAAAATGCAGCATATGAGACATGAGAAAACAAAAGCCATACAGGGATCCACAAACGCAGCATCAAAACAAAAGAGGCTTCTGTTCCTTTGGGTTCAGCTCACATCAGAAAAATCCCCAGTTCCTTCAAATTTATCACCTGTGAAAGAAAACTAATTTGGGTTGAAAAGATGGTTGAATTGGTTTTATCATCACAAACCCGAAGATTGCAACTTCTAAGTCTTTGTACCTTTGAGTCGTTGCTCCTTCATAACAATGCAGCTCTAACCTCTTGCTTGAGTGGTTTCCGATATCAAACTTCTCGATCAGGAGCTCACTGCAAGCTTTAGCGAGCATTAGCAAAGAAAGCTTCTCTTGTTTTGTCCTTGTACTGGCAAAAATAAGGCAACTTGAGCATGCAGGCTGCATGAAGAGCTGTAGAGCAGAGCATCCATACTGCTTATTTCAGCAACAACAAATGAAATGTGGAGTATTTTAGCTCTAAACCTGCATATAAATACAATGTTAATCTAAAAAATGACACTTGAAATGGGCTCCAGTTCATCAAGTCTGATTCTCATCTCCCAAACGCTATCACACATACTTACTTTATGGTAATGCTCTTCTTTATCTGCCCGTTCTCTAGAGCAAAACTCAGTTCGATGATGTGCTATGAATATTTTCATTCTACAGAAACCATTTATATTTTCCATGAGTTTTGAATCATAATATTGCTTTAAGAGAAGGTGGCCTTCATGCATCCCCCTTTTCCTTTTCATGATTACTCTTCCCACCAATGCTATGAAGTTGTTGACCCTTTACAGATAGTTTGTTTTCACTTTTAGTCATCTCATTTAAGCAAATCGTGACTGATGCAAGATCATCACTTAATACTAAATGCCACTTCAAAAGCATGATTTTGATTGTGAAGGTAATAAGACATTTTAAATCATCCACTATGGTATTGTCCGTTTCGTTAATCTGTGAATTAACTTTGAATAACCATCTTATGGATGTAGAGCTAAGTTACATTTTAAAACCAAAACAGGACATGAATACGGACACAACTATAGAAAAAAAAAAAAACTCCTTTAAAGATAACATCTTGGCATCATAAAGTAGGCTTAAAGATTTTTAGAAAGCTACACAAATGACCCAATAAAAAAAAGAAAACAAGACATGAGAATAGTGCTGGACGATATGACCTCAAATCAATATCACCATAAATTGGGCAGTTTTACCTCGATAAAGATAAATGCACGATAAATTCTCCGGTTTCTCTATCGGACATAAAGGCAACTGTAGGAAATGCAACTGATCTACCGGTATTTAGAATTTATTTATTGAATAAATCCTATTGCATATTACTTTCAATCAAATATGAAAGTGTTGTACCGATTCAAGTTTAAACATTCAACAATAGGGTGACCATATTTTCATTTTGAAAAACCAGGACACCTTGGAGCGGGGGGGCGGCGGCGGGGGATCTCTGTTCCCATGCATAGGCCTAGGTAATCCTACAATAACATGATATTAACAGTTGATTTATTAAAAATGCTTTTCAGTAAAGGTCAACAGCAATAACTCCAATAACAAATGATAATTTTATTCAAAATGTATTTATTAAAAATGCTTAACAATTCCTGTAATGAATGAATAGCATTAATGAAAGAAATGTCTCATCTAAACATCCCTCACTTAACAATAAAAGTTAACAATAACTCTCAACTCCCAATATGATGATACTCAGCCTCAGCAATGAACGAAATAATGTCTGTTCTGTAGGTTATTGGAAAAAATAAACAAATGAGCTAATTAACAAAAAATACCTCTTTTGTAGCAAAAATAACTCAAAATGTACCAAAAACGAACAAACATATCAATAGAATATCTTGACTTTCGTGGTCCAGGTGGCTTTTGAGATTCCTTGCACCTCGATTGGACACTGAGACATATGTGCCTGCTTTGCACACTGTGCACAAGGCCTCCCATTTGTCTCGACCCGGTCAGAAAGCGGGGAAACTCTTTTGTAAATCGTTGGTAAACATACATTTGTGCCTTTGCATGTTGTTGGCGTACTGACAGCCACGCTATCTATATTCTGATTAAGAACGGGGCACCCACACTGGCGTGGCTCAGGGGTGATGTCACACAAAGCGTCGTGCGCAGTGCCCTAGCGTCTGTAAATTTAATGGTCCAATGAAGGTAATTTAAAAAAAAACAGGACATTTCCTCACTTTCTAAAAAAAACCCGGGACGCCCAGGACAGGACGTGAAATACGAACATGTCCTGGGAAATACAGACGTTTGGTCACCCTATTCAACAATATCTCATTGATCAGGAGAAAAATGTTACTTCTCTTGCAAACAGTTTTGCTGAGAGGTAATGGAGCCTTTTGCACATCTTTGAACTCAACAGCGTGGTTGTGTTGCAGGTGGTTCATGTTGGATATGTTACTATTGTTAGTCCCAACAGTTTTCAGACAAACTTTGCATTTCATCTTGTTTTGCTTAACATCTATGGTGTAATTTTGGTGCCACCAAAGTGAGTGTGCAGAGAGAACAATGTGCATCATTCAAACTCACACACCCTCACTCAAAACAGGTCTGCCGCAAGCTCAACTCTTGACTTTGCTGAGCCCTCAGCTTCATCGCTGCTCTCGCTTGGCTACCCAGGATTAACTGATGTCATTTCGTTTAGAGCTGTTAGACCCTTCTTCACTGGGCTCATCCGCAATTATCTTTGTTTACGCTTCTGACTGGATCGGTGGAGTCAGGTGATTCACATGCTGCAGTGTCTTAAAGGGGAAGGAAATACCAACCACCCTCGCACACAGGAAAAATATCAACCGTAACGTTCAAAAATCAGGTTTATCGCCCAGCCCTAAATGAGAAACTAAATCTTTAAGAAAATTATTGAGAAGCACACTTGCCATTAAACCGAAACTAAGCAACTAAGAACCTTCATAAACCTGCACCGCTTTAAGCACCAATAACTGATATGGAGGCCACAGTGTCGTAAATGTGACATTGTCAATTCAGGATTGAGTTTGCTGTCAGCTGATAAGCTACAGGATAATACATAACTCTTTTTCATTTTATATTTGTATAATACAAGTGATTAATTCTGACTAGAGGGAAGGCATCAGCCGCATCACCCTTCAAAATCAGCTAAAATAAATGATGAAACATGGAAAATCTCTCAGAAAATATGACTGGTACAGTATGACCTACGGAGAATAACAGCAACTGATAACTGTTTCAACAGAGCTTGTCCAATGAAAGTGAACAAAACAATTCAGCCATCTCTGAGTAGTTATTGGGCTACACTACCCTGTTTCTAAAATCTACAAAGCCAAAATAATTATAAATGGTGAAATAAACCAACCTGTTCAGCAGAAAGCACCATTTTCATCCTCCCTTTTCCTTTGTAGTCACCACTCACAAAACTATGGCGATGTAAACTCTCATTTCTTACTTATTTCTTCTTTTTATTTTCTTGGTTACTGTCTCCTTCCTCTCGATGTGCAAAAAATATTGGTGTTCCTCAATATCAAGAGAATACTGCAAGTAGAAGGATCTATGGTTGTCTTTCTGTTTTATACTCCTTCTCTCACATCAGCTGCTTCTATGTATGAAGTTAAAGCGCATAAGACTAATAGGTTGTTCCCTTTTTGCTGTAATAAAAATAGCTATGCAACATGGAGCCTTCTATTAGGTGGACTGCCACCTGTTGTAACAATCTGTACCAGTAGCACAATACATACCATTAGTTCATTTTTGTGCATGCCCAACCAGAATTACAGGGTCACGTCACTATTGTTTGTGCTTTTAAAAAAGACAGAAATTACTTCCTTTTTTCTCTGTAATTAAAACAATTCTACTAAACTAAAATATGTATTTTCCGAGAGGAATAAATGCTTAAACATCCTTTCTGTTCTATCCCTCGTCTGTGCCAGCTCTGTCCCTAAAAATGGATCTTAACCTGCTTCTGGCTTCAAATTTTTTTGGCCTTTTGAGTTTTAAATAAATGTAATATTTGTATGTTTTATAGTTGCCTCGTGTTTTAATTTTGTGGTATATAGAACTGTGATGGCCAAATCCATGGCCACACTCTGAAGTTGACAAAAGATGGGGGGGCCAGGGCTCAGCAAATTTGGATGCTGATTGGACTGCACCACTGGTCCTTGCTGGCGGGGGAATGTGTAGTTTCTTTCTTTAGATGAGTTTTGCATTTAGGTGAATATTGGTATTTGGACTTTAATGGTCCATCACATGTGGTGTCAGAAGTGAGGATTTTGAGTTGAGGAGCCAGGATTTTTTTTTCTTTTCTCTTTTCTCTGTTTTTTTTTTTTTTTTTTTTTTTTTTTGTGTGAGCAATTTTTCCCCCACCAACAAACTTTTTGAGCCATGCAGAACGGTCTGCGCCCAAGAAAAGGAAATAAGGTTGAGACCAAAGAGGCTTCCCAGCAATCAGAGAGTCAGGAAATGGAAGGAGGAGCTTCAGCAGCAGCAGCTGAAGCCACTGATGAGGAGGAGCCCAGAGAGCCAACTCTGCATGATATTGCTGGGATTCTTCGGGCTTTCATGGGACAACAGGAAGTTCGGGAGAAAAAGCAGAGAGAAGTTTCTGCACAACAAGAACAGCGCTTTAGGAGTTTGCAACACCAGTTTCGGCTTTTGCAGATGGAAATACAGGCCAGGACAACCCCGCCCCCTGAGCCCACATCAACTGATCCACCACCTGTTACAACTCAAATTGATCAGATTCAAGCAACATCTCAACCTGAGGATTCAGCTTTCAGCTCAACAGGTCAGTCTGTGCACCTTCCTCATCCTAAATTGGAAAAATTGACTGCTGAAGATGATGTTGAGCACTTTCTGACCACGTTTGAGAGAATTGCAGCTGCTTATCGTTGGCCACAATCGGACTGGGTTTTCCATCTCATTCCTCTTCTGACGGGTAAGGCTCGCTGTGCCTATGTTAACATGGATGTGGATGATTCCCTGGAATATGGAAAGGTAAAAGCTGCCATTTTACAAAAATATGATATAAATCCAGAAACTTACCGACAAAGATTTCGCTGTCTTGATGTTCTTGATGAGAGTCCAAAAGAATTATATTCAAGGCTGAAAGAACTTTATGAGAAGTGGGTTCAGCCTAAAGATAAAACTGTGAAACAAGTTGGTGAACTGATTATTCTGGAACAATTTTTGAGAATGTTGTGTCCTGAGCTTCAGGTTTGGATCAAGGAGCACAATCCGAAGTCTGCTGCAGAAGCTGCTACTCTCGCTGATGTGTTTGTGGCTGCTAGAAGTAGGAGTCAGCCATGGAGCAACAGTGCATGGAGAGCTGCCAAAGATTCACGTCGGTTACAACCTTATCAGCCTCATCAAAAGCTAGCAACGGGTGGGGGTAAGCCTTTTTTAAGAGAAAACCAGCCTTCTAAGGCAGGAAAAAGGCCTCCAGTGTGTTATCTGTCGACAAAAAGGTCACACCAAACCCATGTGCCCTAAGAATCAAAGTAAGCTAACTCAAGTGTGTTTTGTGCCTCATCAGAATGTGGATGTTAAACTTGAAGTAAAGCAGTCAAGTAAAATAATTACAGTGAAGATTGCTGGGCATGAAATAAAGGCTTTAATAGATACTGGCAGCACACAGACTCTAGTGCACAAGAACCATGTACCAACTAATTGTATATGCCCTTCTGAAACGATATCAGTTCGCTGTGTACATGGTGATGAGAAATCATACCCCACTGCTGATATGTTTGTTGAGGTGCAGGGAGCTCCCTATCTGTTGAAGGTTGGGGTAGCTGATAACCTACCCTATCCTGTAGTTTTGGGGGTGGATGTGCCTGTCATCTATGACTTGTTGAGGGATGTGCAGAGCTGTAACGTGGCTGTAACCAGAGCCCAAGCTAAAAATCAAGATGAGCATTTTGCAACACTTAGTGCTTTACCTTTTTTCGAGGCTGAGTTGCAGACAGAACCTGGGAAGTCTCGGAAGCCACGCAGCCAAAGAAGGCGTGAGAAATTTCAACATGCACTGGGTGAGACTTCAGTTGAAGTGGCTCCAGATATGCCACTGGGTTTTTCAATACCCACAAACATCAGACAAATGCAGCAGAATGATCCAACTTTATTTGCCCTGTTGCTGAAGGCTAGGAGGGAGGCCTCTGTAGGATCTGACACAAATAAAGAGCAGTATATACTGCAAGATGGCATTTTATATCATCAACATGGCCAGTTTAAGCAGTTAGTTGTCCCTAAGGAGGCTCGTGAAACAGTGCTGACTTTGGGACACTCTATTCCCTGGGCTGGCCACCTTGGGAAGTATAAGACCACTGCTCGCATCAAGCGATATTTTTTCTGGCCTGGTTTAAGATCAGATGTTGCTTTATTTTGCAGAAGCTGCCCTGAGTGTCAGAAAACCTCAATGAGAGTCCCTAGCAAAGCACCACTTCAACCCCTTCCCATTATTGGCACACCTTTTCTACGCCTTGGGATGGATGTAGTGGGCCCGGTGGAAAAAAGTAAATCTGGAAATCGCTTCATGCTTGTCATCACAGACTATGCAACAAGATATCCTGAAGTTTTTCCACTAAAGACTGTTAAAGCAAAACATGTGGCTTCCTCACTGGTTCAATTTTTCTCAAGGGTTGGATTTCCACAGGAGATTTTAACCGATCAGGGCACTAACTTTATGTCCAAACTCTTGAAACAGGTCTATAAGCTGTTGGGCATCAGGAGCATGAGGACAACACCATACCACCCACAGACGGATGGCCTGACGGAGCGTTTTAACCAAACTCTCAAACAAATGCTACGTAAGTTTGTGAATGATACAGGCTCTGATTGGGACCAGTGGTTGCCATACCTCCTTTTTGCCTACAGGGAGGTTCCTCAGGCTTCCACTGGTTTCTCCCCATTTGAGCTCCTCTATGGCCATGATGTGAGGGGCCCTCTGACCCTGCTAAGAGATGCATGGGAGGGAGATCAGAGTAAAGAGGATCCAGTCAACATTATTTCATTTGTTCTCCATATGAGGGATAAATTGCAGCAAATGAGTGAGTTGGCTCAGAGTCACATGGCAGCTGCTCAGAAACACCAAAAGGTTTGGTTTGACAAGAAAGCTCGCCACAGAAGTTTTGCTCCTGGCCAGAAGGTTTTGGTAATGTTGCCAACTTCTGACAGCAAGTTGCTAGCAAAATGGCAGGGACCCTTTGAAGTACTGAGGAAAACTGGACCTACTACCTATCAAGTCTCTACACCAGGTCTCCAGCGAGGGAGTCGAGTGCTCCATGTTAACCTTCTCAAGGAGTGGGTTCCAAGGAAGGAGAATGAAACTGAGGTGTTGCTTGTTCACAGAGTGGAGGAGGAGGAAGAAGTTAATGACTATTTGCCCTCAGTAACATCCTCTGTGCTGGACCTAAGCCATCTCACCAGCGAGCAACAGTCTCAGGTAACACCTCTTATTACTTCTGACATACTTCAAGAGTGTCCAGGTCGCACCACTCTGGTGGAGCACAGCATTGTTCTAAAACCAGATGCTGCCATAAAGCGTATGAGTTACAGGATACCCGAACGCTTCCGGGTGGAGCTGAAGGAGGAGATGGACCTCATGCTGTCTCTAGGAATCATCCAACCTTCAACAAGTGAGTGGTGCAACCCTGTTGTGTTGGTTCCGAAAAAGGATGGCAAAATAAGATTTTGCATCGACTTCAGGTACCTCAACTCTATATCAAAATTTGACTCTTACCCAATGCCACGTATTGATGACCTCATTGAGCACCTGGGGGCAGCAAGATACTTAACAACTATTGATCTGTCTAAGGGGTACTGGCAGGTGCCTCTCACTAAACAGTCCCAGGAGCTGACAGCGTTTCGCACCCCCTGGGGATTGTTCGAGTTCACAGTCCTGCCATTCGGTCTCCATGGGGCCCCAGCAACATTTCAAAGACTAATGGATCAGGTACTCTCTGGGCTCTCAGCATTCACCTGTGCATACCTTGATGATGTTGTGGTTTTCAGTGCAACTTGGGAAGAGCATGTTCACCATCTAAAGGAGGTCCTGGATCGGCTGCGTTTAGCAGGCCTTACCATCAATCCAGCAAAGTGTGCTCTTGCCAGGACAGAAATACAGTACCTGGGGTACACCATTGGAGGTGGTACTCTGAAACTTCAAGTTGATAAAATCAATGCGATAGCATCCTGTCCGCTCCCACAAACCAGGAAACAGCTGCGGTCTTTTCTTGGCATGGCTGCATTCTACCACAGATTCATTCCTAATTTTTCAGCTAGAGCAGCATTCCTAACAGACATGACGGGCTCCAGAAGTCCCACTAAAATTCATTGGACAGCAGAGGCTATTGCAGCATTTAAGGACATTAGCCAATCTCTGAGTAAGAATCCAGTTTTGCACTCACCTGATTTTGCAAAAGACTTTGTGTTGCAGACTGATGCTTCTGAAAGAGGCCTTGGGGCAGTGCTTCTGCAGGGACCACCGGAGGACCAACATCCAGTTGCCTACATCAGCCGCAAGCTGCTGCCAAGGGAGGGGCGCTATGCAACCGTGGAGAAGGAAGCCTTGGCTATTAAATGGGCCCTTGACTCATTCGAATATTATTTGCTAGGAAGAGAATTCACACTTCAGACTGATCACAGAGCCCTCCAGTGGCTAGAAAGAATGAAGGACACTAATGGGAGAATCACCAGATGGTACCTTGCTATGCAGCCATTTCGGTTTAATGTTCACTACATCCCCGGCAAGGACAACACCACTGCTGATTACCTTTCTCGGAGCCAGAGGGAAGATCAGGAAGTGGGGGAGTGTGTGATGGCCAAATCCATGGCCACACTCTGAAGTTGACAAAAGATGGGGGGGCCAGGGCTCAGCAAATTTGGATGCTGATTGGACTGCACCACTGGTCCTTGCTGGTGGGGGAATGTGTAGTTTCTTTCTTTAGATGAGTTTTGCATTTAGGTGAATATTGGTATTTGGACTTTAATGGTTTTGATTTTCATTTTGTGAATCTTTAGTTTAGTCAAACTTAGCTGTACTGTTATTTGTTTTGTTTGTAATTGTATTCTGTTTAGTTACCCCTATTGTGTCTAAATTGGTCTGATCAGCCAGTATATATACCCCTGTCTGTCATTTCTTTGTAGGTCAGTTATGTTTGTTTGTACAGCCAGTTTGTTTACATTTTTGCCTGAGTTCAGTTTTGTTTCTTTGACCTCTTTTATGAGCTCAGTTTATCTTTTGTCATCTATTTTTTGGGTTAAAATAAAAAACCCTATTTTTCTAATTAATATCCTGTGACTCCTCCTGTTTTTTTTAACTCGGTCCATCACAAGAACATAATCTAAAGAAATAGACAAATTAAATGCAGATAAACATTTTATATTCATATTTGACGAGATTTCTCTAATCACGTCCATTGATGACGTCAGACAAGCAATTAACGGAGAGAATCATAAACACATCCAGTCTCTTAGAAAGGCAGTTAATAACATGTTTATAACATGTAGTTCAACATTCATTGTCAGTTTAAGGATAGAAATAAGTACTTTCAGTACCGTAATGACCTTATTTATGACAACCTGGATAAATGTCTGCCATCCATCCATCCATCCATCCATCCATCCATCCATACATACATACCCTTAAAAACCTCAATGCTTAATGAGTCCAACTAGTGGGAGTGAGGGGTAAAGACTGAAACACTTTTTTTTCAGGCCAAATTTCCAAAGCCATCTTTTCAATGTGAAAACTTCTGCATACTAAACTACTACAAGAAGGATAGAAAAGTCTATAAACACACTTCTTCCCACAAGTAGTTGCTCTGCCAGTGTTCATCTGAAATCAGGCCAAGTGAGAATAGTCACTCATGCAAACAATGTTTCATTCCTCATTGGAAATCTAACCAGGTACGTCCTCCATCTATTACTCGCTCCACACATTGCAGAAGGGAAGTGTCAGTTTAAACAGATTCAGTCTGCTCATTGTACTTTTCATCCCAGAAAGGTTAAGCAGGTTAGAAATGTGGGATTAGCAGCCCATTTGTGAAAAAGCAGAATAGGGAGATATTGTTAATGTGGTTAAAAATAATCAGTTAAGACAAATCTTGAAGTGGGCTGATGTACCGGTTAAGACACATCTTCAGTCTGTTGTAGATATTCATCCAAAACTACAGGGATTGTGTAGATTGCTGGCTGCAGTTTGGAAATTACTCTCTAGGGATCATCAAGGCAACATCCAACCCCCCGTTCTTCTTCTCACTTCTACTTTCATCACCATCTTCTTCTGCATGAGTTTTAC